TGTATGCTATTATGCAGTAGAGTATTGCATTCGAAAACCGAGTCGTTTAATACGAGCAGCGATTGGTATCGTCAACAGTATTGTCGCGGCTACCTCCCGGCCTCGATTCGAAGCACCGCCCCATTTCCATTGGGAAATCCACCCTCGTCTGCCGGTGGAATCCCTCGGTAGGGAACCGCCTTGTGAATTGTGATCGCGTTCTTTGGCTTGTCGTCTTTGTCGGTGGCAACCATCCCCATGCGCTGCACGACACCCATGCCACTATAAATCCTACCAAAAATCGTGTGCTTGTTGTCGAGCCACGGTGTGGGCTTCAATGTGATAAAAAATTGGCTGCGTCCGGATTCCCAACAGATGCCGAGCAGAAGAAGGTATTGGCACGAAACAACAATCCGATTTAGACCCAAAAATTCTTGTSATGGGAACGTTKSTTTCGGTTCTGCTGTTGCAAGGACAATGRCATTTCACTCACCTTCCGTTCGTGTTYGGACCTGTGATACGGCATGAAGGCATTGCGTAGAATCGATTAGAAAAGAAAATACATGCATTCTAGTAKCTCAGCGGGTTTGTGAGACTTTGGGTTGGCTTACCTGAATTTGCCATCGACTGGGTTATSAGTCATCATTGAGATCACATTRAAAGATAGTAAAAGAAGTGGTGAGGGAAAACTTCAAGCGAGGAACAGGTACTGCCCAAATTCAATCCTTTGCTCCTCAAAATCGGCCATTCGACCCATACAAAAAATGCTCTCGAGGATGCACTTACCAAAACACCCGCGCCGGTGTGCTTCAGATTCCTCGTTATTTCGTCCTCGAACTTTCCTCCGTACACCGACTCACCACCGCGCCCGGTCCCCGTTGGATCACCTCCCTGAACCATAAAGTCTCGCACGATTCGGTGAAAAATCGTGCCTTCCAAACCAGAATTACAAGTGTGATMAGAAAACGTTCTTCTAGCGATCGAGCCCTTTCGCTGTTGCTTGAATCGGGATAAAACCAAAGCCCTGGCGTTGCGATCGAACGCCAAAAGGCGGACCAATGGCCCACGCGCAGTTGCAAACTCGGACAAAGATKGTTAACACTTACCGTCGTAATATCCTGCATGGGCCAATGCTGCTACGTTGTAGCACGACCTGGGCGCATGTTTGTGATACAATTCCACCACAAAGGTTCCAATGCTGGTGTCGAATTTCACATACGACCAAGGCGCATTGGGGTTTTCCAGCTGGCTGGTGGCCGACATTGTTGCTCGCAACGAACGCTTCGATTGTTTCGGAAGAACAAGAAAGCGAAGGCTGTATCCTGTGATCGATCCCGATTGTACCTTTTTCAGACGCCGATCGTTTTCTGAACGCTGCTTATTTTTGAACTCCTTCGCGTTTCAGATGYTGTTGTATCCTGGCTGGTTCCTTCCGYGGTGCCTCCTCACACTTGATTCTCTTCATCCATGAAACGAGCAAGCAACAATAGTTCATCTCATGACGAGTTGTCTACATCGGAAATGGGTAAATTCAAAATGTTGGTTGAGACTATTTTCCGATGGAGTCGAAGGAGTCAATCGATGGATTTTGCGAAGGACCAAACGTGCGTGCACAAAGCGGACGTCGGACACACGACATTCTCCATGTTCTCCATCTCTAGGCATCATCATTTTTAACGAAGGTARTACGAATACGAGCACGTTATCAGATCTCCGGTTACGTACGACAGTACCGTACGATCACTGTACATAGAGAAGGTTCAAGAGCCAATTCCAGAAAACAAAGAATCACATCACAGCCGTAGATCTCTCTGATAGGAGGAAATGCGAGAAAATTGCGTATTGCACCTATTTCAAAGTTTCGCAACTTTTGCTTCCACATTCGGATAAGACGAGACCGTTCGCCATTTCTTGGATCACGATTTCGACAACCTAACTAAAAGATAAAACGAGTGCAGAGACGAACACACAACAATTTCGGTTTTTACCATAGAGCCATGATTTTTGCTTCTGCTTGTGTTGCGGTCCTCCTGGCCAATGTTGACTCGGTCGTCGGGCTAACCCGATCTCCCATGACTATGGGAACCGGAAACTCCTTTGGGCGTACCTTTCGTATCTCTACATGGGGTGAATCCCATGGAGGAGGCGTCGGTGTGACTCTGGATGGATGCCCTCCCCGTATTCCTTTGTCGAGAGAAGAGATACAAAAGGATTTGGACAGGCGTCGTCCGGGTCAGTCTCGCATCACAACCCCCCGCAACGAAGCCGATTCGGTCGAAATCATGTCTGGTTTGAACCCAGAAGACATTACCCTAGGCACTCCGATTGCCATGTTGGTTCGCAATAAGGACCAGCGATCGCAAGATTATCTKGAAAACGACATGAATGTTGCCTACCGACCATCCCATGCCGATGCAACCTATGATTCCAAGTACGGTGTCCGTGCCATTGCGGGTGGAGGTCGTTCTTCCGCCAGAGAAACCATCGGTCGAGTTGCTGCCGGCGCCATCGCTAGAAAAATCCTGAAAATGTACAACGGGATCGAGGTATTGGCCTACGTTTCTAAGGTACAAGACATCAAGGCCGAAAATGTTGACCACGACACTTTTACCATGGAGGAGGTCGACGCGAACATCGTTCGATGTCCCGACGAAGCAAGTGCCGAAAARATGTTGGCACGCATTGATGAGATCCGAAAGGCAGGAAACTCAATCGGTGGTGTCGTCACTTGTGTTGCCCGAAATGTTCCCGCTGGGCTTGGATCTCCTGTTTTTGACAAGCTCGAAGCAGATCTTGCCAAGGCCTGCATGTCGATTCCCGCTGCAAAGGGTTTCGAGTCTGGTGATGGATTCGAAGGTACATTGTTGTCCGGAAAGGATCACAACGATGAATTTTACATTGACCCCGAGACAGGTGCAACCCGAACCAAAACGAACAGATCCGGAGGTATCCAGGGAGGAATTAGCAACGGAGAGAATATTGTGGTCCATGTAGCCTTCAAACCAACATCCACTATTGGACAAGCTCAGGTATGCAGATCCAAGATAACACTTTTGTATCCTGTTGAAAAGATTATTTTTCATTACAACGTTTGATATTGAATATCTACACATCTCACTCATACTTGTTTTGTGTCATTTTTAACCAGGCTACTGTAACACGAGATGGAAAGGAGGTCGAGCTCCGTGGAAAGGGTCGCCACGATCCATGTGTTTTGCCGCGTGCGATTCCAATGGTAGAAGCCATGGTCGCTTTGACCTTGACGGATGCTCTCATGATGCAAAAGGCGCAGTGCGAATTATTACCCAACGAAGCTCCTTTCGAATCTCAACCGAACCCCATGGGCTCAACCGTGGAGGGACGAGGGGAAGTTGGATTGGTAACSGCCGAAGGTGATGCCTTAAGCCAGCGCGTAGACGAAGAGTAATAGCGCCAATATTGTACCTCGGTAGTGTTCCTAGATGCCTGAACCAAACCTGACGGGTAAATTGTAAAAACTAATTCTCTATTCGAAGGAAATACAGTATAATCCACTTTTTACAAGCGGTGACTTCATTGATTTAAATCARCAACGCTGCTTCAGTCACAAAAAGCGGCATAGCTACATACTTTCACCGTACGCCATGCTACTCGGGGTTCCGTGCAGTATATGGAACTCAATTATTAGAGACCTGAGCCATACCAAACAATCAAACTTCGATGGAAAAGACATATTAAGAAAGTGATATAGCTATACTTCCACCGTACGTCATGCTATGGGTTCCGCGCACTACGTGAAACTCATCTATTAGAGACCTCAGCCATRCCTAACAATCAAATTTAGATGAAAAAGAAATAATTTCTAGCTTTCTCAAAAAGCAATCATGCCCTGRAGTACTACAACGATGGACGAGGGAAAAGTATTCTGTTTTCGTTTCGGCTCGTTCAGCGAAAACATATTTTTCCATCGAACACGTGAATTTTCGTCACTTTTCTGACARCAGAGACTCCATTCAAACAAATGAAAGAAGGGACGCATCTCTCGCTATGGGTGACTGAAGAAGCATTCGGAGGAATGAATCCACAGCCAGACCACCAMCACGCCTATCCCACGAAAAGGTCAAAATACATRATAATGTTCGCTCAACTAATAATGAAAATTTACTCCTCGGATTCCTCAGAGTCTCCRGTGATGAAGCAYTTGTTGATGAATTCGTTCTCTCGTTGACGCTGTTCGCTGGCTTGGGCCTTCTTCAAAATCTTTCTTCGGCTGGTTCCACGCTTTCCGGGGGAGGAGAATTTACGCATGTTTTCTCTGTTTCGCTTGATCTTCTCTTTCTTGGCGTTAACACGGCATCCGAAGAGTTCTGTGCTGGACAAGGCAGACTTGCCAGGGAGCACGGTGAAAGCCTTCGCAAACAAGTGATCGAAAAAAAGGAACACGATTAATGGAACACAAACAAAAGAATTAGTGTAAGCTGCAATCGAGGTTCATTCCATCTTGTAAACAATTTTCAATCAAGTACATCTCAAACACATACATCGATGCTGCTGATGGCAGCGACAGCCAAAAGGACAATTAGTAGAAGACGTTGGAACATGGTGTTGATATTCTCTAGTTGTAGTAATGGATGTGGAAAGAACGAGTCGGGTAGCGTTGAGGAGGAGCGGTTTACTTTCGAGGAGAGGCCTGCCTTTTCTTGATGATTTGATGGGTGTTCGTTCTCATCGATCGGTGATTCATCGCCACACTTATCGCCTGATGACTCGAGGCTGAGTGAGTACGAGGACATGTACAGAAGTGTACTACGTGCGCTACAACGTGAAAAATTAAATTGTTACGATTACGACAACGAGAGGCTACGCTTCGCATTCAGTCTGACTGACGTGTGTAAAGCAAAAATGAAACAATTTCCGGACGAAGCAAGACACGTACGGGACTAGGTAGATGGTCCAACCATACATTTTTTCCCTGTTCATTTCCCATCTCCCCCCTCTTTCCGGCACCCACCAAAACTTGTTTCAAAACATTTCTAACAGTAGTAGTAGTATTACTGCTGGTCCTTACTATACTACTATGATGGACGACAGCAACAACTATTACTACTCCTAGCAGTAGTACTATTACTACTACTATGACAAGTATCATAAAAGTAATAGCAGTAGTAGTACTATTCTTGCTACTAGTAGCCAGCACCAGCATTGCTGAGGAGGAACAAAGCAAAATTTTTGCTCCATTTTTTGGTGGTGCGTGCTCCTCCTGCTGGGCCCATCATTGTTCTTAGTAATAGTACCAATAGTAGTAGTACTACTACTACCAGCAGAACCAATCTAAATCTCCTCATTTTCCCCTCTGCTAATACTAGTTCTTGTCTAGTAGCAAGTCACCAGCAGCAGCACCATAAGCAGTACTACTAATATTGTTGGTGTTGGCAATCATAGTAATACTACTACTAGTAGTAGTAGTGGTACTAGTAGTAGTACAACTACTAGTAGTAGTAGTAGTAGTAGCTAAAACTACAATCATAGTAGTAGTAGTAGTAGTAGTAGTAGCACCACCAACCAGATAGTGCTAGTAGTAGTAGTACTAGTAGTAGTACTAGTACTAGTAGTAGTACTAGTAGTAGCACCACCACCAGCAGCACAGTTCACGAATGCTTTGTCCTCTTCTTGTGGCGGTGTATGCTGGCCTACTAGTACTAGTACTATTACTACTAGTACTAGTACTACTATAGTATTCCTTCCTCCTCATATCCACCACTCCTGCTAGTACTACTACTAGTACTACTACTACTAGTACTAGTAGTAGTAGTTGTTGCAATTTTGCAGATGATTGCAGTACTAATAGTACTAGTAGTAGCTAGTAGTGGTATTTCTTGCAACAAGAAAGTGGATAAAAACAAGACATTGCAGTCATAAATATTAATCCACTTGTAGTACTAGTACTAGTACCGGTAAAACTAGTGTTAGTACTTCTACTAGTAGTAGTAGTACTACTACTAGTACTAGTACAGTAGAAGTCCGCACTTTCATCAGGAGTATTCCCATTCCTATCTAACCCCATCCTTAATGAGATAATTTTGTCAACGTGCGTGTTTGAGATTTATCACGTCACCTTTCATCTCGGAGAACCCGGCCGGCTATTTAAAATTTTTCACCTACGTCACTACTACTGTATCTCAGTGAAAAACATCACGTACAGTAACTGGTTTAGCATTGTGAAATTCCAAAAAATCAACCTGTATCCTCCGACGATCCACGATAAACCGACAACCCGGTTCTCAAAAAGTGCGACGTCCTCGTACAGTAGCGCCTGTCTCCATTATATAACTGGTAGAGAAATAACCAAGATATACATTATCAACAACAACCATGATGTTCCGTCATTCTCTTCTTCTTGTGGCATTGAGCTCATTGGTGCTCTCGTCCACTGCATTTGCCCCTTCCCGATGTAAGTATATTGTGGAGAGTGGTGATTAAGATGCCGAAGTGTAACAGCATTTCAACTTTGCACCTTAYGGTAAATTGCGGTCTTACCTTGGATGCCTTTCGATCATATGTGGTTGGATTTGTTTCGTTCTTATAAAAATGATCAATGTAATGTAAAATGTATTAATAGCTGTGGGAAGAACTGTAGCATCCCGATCGGAATCGACCTATGCTCCTTCGCCACTGTTTGATGCTGCTGATGAAATTGCCAAAGATCCCACCGACTTGACAGGAAAGGTCGCCTTCATTGCCGGAGTTGGAGATTCCACCGGATACGGATGGGCGATTGCCAAGGCCCTTGCCGATAAGGGAGCCACCATCATCGTTGGAACATGGCCTCCGATCTTGAAAATTTTCCAGATGGGACTCAAAAGAGGGAGCTTTGACGAGGACTCCGTTCTTTCGAGCGGAGGAAAGATGGAAATTRCTAAGGTGTACCCTCTAGACGCCGTCTTTGATACCCCTGAAGATGTCCCCGATGAAGTCAAGGAAAACAAGCGATACAAGGGACTTGACGGATTCTCCATCTCCGAAGTTGCGAAGGCTGTCGAGGAAGATTACGGCAAAATTGACATTCTTGTCCACTCCCTTGCGAACGGACCTGAAGTTACCAAGCCCCTTCTTGAGACAAGCCGCAAGGGATACCTAGCTGCCTCTTCTGCTTCCGCTTACTCCTTTGTTTCTCTTGTCCAACACTTCGGACCCATCATGAACGAAGGATCCAGTGCTCTTTCCTTGACWTACATTGCCTCTGAAAATGTCATCCCTGGATACGGTGGTGGTATGTCTTCCGCCAAGGCTCAACTCGAGAGTGACACCCGAACCCTTGCTTTTGAAGCTGGACGCAAGTACGGCATGCGAATCAACACCATCAGTGCCGGTCCCCTCAAATCGCGAGCTGCCACCGCAATTGGAAAGGAACCCGGCAAGAAGAGTTTCATCGAATACGCTGTCGATTACTCCAAAGCCAACGCCCCTATGGCCCAAGATTTGTACAGCGATGATGTTGGTAACTCCGGACTATTCCTGTGTTCTCCAATGGCCCGTTCCGTCACCGGCGTAACATTGTATGTTGACAACGGTCTTCATGCCATGGGAATGGCACTTGACAGCATCTCCATGCAAAGAGAAGAGTAAGCTATAAAACCTAATCAATATSGTAATGAATAAAGTAATACAAACAATTGATGTATCGAACCCAAAAGAAGACTAAGACMTCGCGAAGATTTGTGATTGTAATCTAGATGAAGACAAATTGATGAAGTACGTATTGCATTGGATCTCTCCACTTTTTAAACCTYCATTTTAGCTGCAATTAGGGCTCATAACAATAATATAGCGTGCATGTGTTTCGGCGTGCCGTCCAGCACCAGCTCGCCACAGTCGATCAAAATAGCTTTCACCTTCTTCTGTTGACCTGGAAGGATAGCCAATGCTTTCATTTGGTTTCCCTTCGAACATCAATACTGAACCTTGGCTTCCTTCGGCATCGATTTCAACTTTCACGAAGGAATCTTTGTTATCGACCTTAGCCAGATCCATAGCACACAAGAGATGGGAGTTCTGGCGCATGACCTTTTCAATCGTTGCACATATCAGTCTTCCGTACCAGTAGTTGTCAGTTACGATCACGAATCTACTAGTAGATTTTCTTTTCAATGCTTTTGCTGCTGCAATTATCACGGTAGAACTCAACATATGAGCTGGTTCCTGGCCACCTTCCATGATTGAGACRAGATTTGCATTTTCGGCACCAAATGTTTGGGTCGGTGGCTCGGGGTGGTTTACGTAGATTGTATCAATGGACTCATCAGATATGTGATTCGAAAGCAAGTTTCCACTGTCAGCGCCAACCACACAAAGATTATCCACAGGCTTGACAGAGCTGAGAACTGCGGTTCTCGCAAAAATTTGTGCCACTCTATCKGCACGGAGTTCTACAGCCAGAAAATCCGTTGAAGGRTCTTGGATTGCCTTCCGCACTATCCAGTCTCCAAAGCCAGCTCCGAGTTCTATTTCAACTTTTCGTGATTTGTTTTTTCGCTTCTTCTGGGGCTTTGAAACGCCAATRCCAGCTGAAAATATTCGATGAAGGTCGAGAGTCCCATCAGATTTCAGAATTCCACCCTGCAAACCAACACTTCCCAGTATTCTRTTGCAGTCTTTTTTCTTCAAAATTTGAATATTWTCATCCATAGAAATTCCCAASCTTACCGTAGTCGGAGCAAGCCCGTAACTATAATAAAGAGAATTYAACAGATCTCTTTGCACCTCTTTGGATAGATCTTTCTTTGCCTTATCTTTTWTATCAATAGATTCGGAAGAATTGTTTTGCGCATCRGTTGTTCCGCCACCTGACAAAAATATTAATCGAGTAATCAAACGYCTCGCTAATCCACGCGATAGAATTTTACTATCTATTCCATCGATATCAACATCGTGCCAAATATTTAACATAGTTTTCGCTTCGTTTTCAACCTCCGATAAGCGATGATTGCGATAAATAGTGTTGGATTCTGTTCGACGATCATTTTCTCTTTTCTCGGTTTCTTTCCAACTCCGTTTTCCTGTCGAGTAGATTGCAAACCGGCAGGGAAGATGTGAGATCTGACTATCGATCAACAAAGAGCAGCGACCTCAGGGCAAACAATGGTCAGAATTACTTACTCGAAAAGGAACTATCTCTTTTCAAAGCATCCTTCGATGCCTTTGCATAAGTTAGAGATGTKTTGCATGCATCCACCGCTTCTTCCTTCTGATTCAAAATKGTATATGCACGAGCAAGTGCACAATACGCCATCGCCAGGCCTTCAGTGAGGCTTTGGTCGTCGCTAGATACAGTTCCTTCTTTGTCTTCCGATAAGCCAAAAACCATTTTCATTTCCGAAACAACCGTTGTCGCATCATTAATTCGTAAAGCTTGGCATAATAAAGTGATGTAATACTCGAACGAGGATACATCGAAAGGTAACGTCCGAGCGCTAGATTGATCGCCCAAGTCCAAGCTCTTGTATTTTTCCCAAGCTGTCTTTGCAGTCACTACCCCACCAATTATAGTGCCTTCTTTACTAGTGGTAACAGCAGACCATAGGCAGCCTCTTAGAAGCGTATTCAGAGTTCTAACGTTTGGATAATTGCTCTTTGCTTTCGTTTTGTTTTGTTTTGTTTCGTTTCGTGACGAGAACGAATAGGAAAAAGAGGCATACTTAGGTTATCATTTCCGAATCCAGAATAATTTAGCCGAAGGCAACGTCAAATGTCAAAAAGTTATCTTACCTTTGGACAGACACATCGAAGAAAACAGTTTGTGTGCTTTAGCTATATCTCCTGAGTGACAGATCCCCTGAACAAGAAAAAAGTTAATAGAATCTCCGTCGTGAGAAATTCCGATGATTTTAGCCATTTATTTCTTCTAATTTCTTTCTCATCACTTACTTTTAACAACGCTGTTTTGGTTTCAACACTAATATGCATCCCTTCTTTTGTTACCTTTTCCAATAGGTTCTCTCCCACCTTTTCAAAAGTATCAGCAACGAGGTGGATTTGAGGGGTGAGTCGRTGAAAAATTGTCAGAYCAATTATCTCACTGGAATAATAAAACAAATAATTTGGTAGGTGTAGAGATTCATCGTCGCAAGTAACGTGAAATGACGCACCGAAATTTTCCCGCATCGTGCTGACATATCGACCATAATACAGGCATGATGACCATCTCGGATCTTGCTGTTCGAACTATCCCAGAAGACCGCGAGTGCCTCGTCTAGCTTCTTTTCACGGGATAATTTTTTCAATTGGTCTGACAGCTTCAGAACTTCTTCGGATGGGGGTCCCCGAGGCTTTTTCTTTTTCTTGTCCGAATGGTCAACCTGGTCTACTTTTTGCCGCTTTGACGAGGGCACAGAGGGCATTGAGTGCTTCTGCGAAAAACCTGGTTTCGCATGTCTCTGCTGATGATGCTTTTTTCGGTKCCCTCCATGCAGCCGTCCGCCCTTATCGGATTTCTTCATTACCAAAAATGGTCTTTTCACTTCAGATCTGCAATGCTTTCTGGGTGCGAATTGAATGTCAATTGTATGTCAACAGTGGCGTCGAATCCGCGTTATAAGATTGAAGCAAGGCACCAGGAATCGGCGCGAGTAGAAAGATTTTAATCTCACTTTAAAGTTTCTTCGCAAATTTCGGATTATTTTCTACGATTTTGATGTGGCATCAAATGCTACTTCTTGGTTGTGAGGCGTCGCATGGTGACATGGTGAAGCGCGCGCCATCAAACGAAAAACTTCAGGTCTATCGTGCATCTTTACTCAGTGGAAGTTAGGCGTATGTTGTGCTTACTTCGGCAAAACTAGTTACAAATTACTACTCGTACAAGTACTTCATACATCATTGTTTCATACAAGTTGAAGGGAACTATTCAGATCTAATAAACAGTACTTTCGCATATTTTTGTACAAATTTCATGAGGATTACGCAGTACTGGTGTGARGACTGATTCCATTGCATCGTTAGAAAGTGGTAAAACAGTAGCAAGGATCCAAACGAAGCGAGCTTGATCAGCGCTTTGACGTGTACTGCTCCCAGCGAAACAATGTTCTATGTTCATCCTTCTAGCATCTATAATTGGTCGCCTCCATCACTCCCTTCATAGAAATTTGCGTTTGCGACGTTGGAGTGCGGTCGGCTGATAGCTAAGTTGGAAAATAGCATCCGAGAAGAGATTAAAGATCCAGAAAATGGGCTTCATCTGGAGTCTGAACAAAGAGCACCGTGCAGAGGGACGTGTGGTACTGTATTCATCCTGCTATCTCCTCCATCCTTCGTCGTCGTCGTCATTCCCTTGCCTGAAGTTGGCGTTGGTGATATTGTTATCTGGTTGTTCGTCGACAACCCAAGGGTGATCTAGAACCTCGGTTAGCGAAAGCCGCTGGCGTGGATCCTCCATCAGCATTTTTTGCAACAAATCGGCAGCTAATGGGCTGATAGGTCTGCCCCAGCTACTAAGCATTCTACTAAGTTTTCCTCTCGTAACCATCACATATCGGGGGTCTTCCGGTTTCGCAAACTCCCACGGAGGAAGCCCCACAAGCATAATGAATAGAATGACTCCGGTCGCCCATAGATCRATCGCAAAGCCATCAAAGGGCTCGGTACTGGCTAATATTTCTGGGCTGATGTAGTTCGGTTTGCCACACGGTATTAAAGGCTTTATCAGACGACGCAATCCTCCTCTCGAGACGTCTCCAATTTGTCCTTCGCCGTTGTCAAAAGGGACACGCAAGCACATCCCCAAATCAATCACCACCGATCTCGTGTATTGGTCTACTAGAATGTTTTCTAAAGACATATCCCGGTGACATATTCCAAGTTTCTGTAGATGCTGAACTCCCTGTTATAGAGATACATTTAAWCAAAACGCAAGAGACCCATTAGAATAGACGGAATAAACTGCAGAAACCGCAGCATTCGTCATCACCAATRTTTTCCAGCCATTTCTCTAATAACTATTGATACACTCACATCTAGTATTTGTGTGAACCAATAGCGAGCCATGTTTTCAGGAAATCCTGGAACCCACAAAATGACAAACCAAGGAACGSARCATCCCACCCAAAAAATAACACGCAAATCCAGAAAAACAATTCAAAATGGAAGTGATGAGCTCTGTTTCTCTTSATTGAAKGGGAGATGAAAAATTAAAGAAAAATCTGCGCGGTTCTGGCGATCAACACCAACAAAAAACGYAAACRCAAAAAGCTGAAAGCTATACAACAGTTCAAAGACCGAATCGATCGAGCACAAGCTGCAACGGCTGACTTACTTCCGGCCTCATGCACAAACCCAAAAAGGTCTCCAGATGTGCAAAACGGCATGAACATAAGTAGATATTCATCGTCTTGTAAGACATCCAGTGCCCCCATTACATGGGGATGCCCTCCCTGYCTCGAAATAAATTGCATGGCCGCCACCTCCTTTTGGGGATCCTCTATRTGCTGGAGGTCCCTTATTTTGTGCCACGCCATGATTTTTGCGGCCGCCTTGTGCTCTGTAACTTCCCAGGGTGCGTCCGGATTGTTCCGGAATCGCAGTATCGTGCATTCCTTTACCACCCCAAAGATACACTTCTTCAGCTTGCGACCTACCCAGTAAGCCCGTTCCGGCGGTCTACCGTCCATGCGGTTCTCGTATATGATATTCGAAACCTTCACGGCGCGCTCTGTGTGAGGATTGTAAACTGGGGCATCGACACGCACAGCTCTGCCCGCTTGCGGTGGATCGAAAGGAAGCGGTAGGATCGGTGCACCATTTTGTTCGATATCTGTGTAAGATGCGGAAGCGTTTTCCAAGAAGTCGAGATCTTCCATAGTKGTTGCTGCCGAAGCCGTTCCTGTTGCAGGTGCGGCTTCCGGAAATTTTGAATTCTAGGATTATTGTTATGATAGGATATCCAGTAAGTGCGGGATGTGTCGAGATTGGGTGATATGGCAATGGTATGGCGCGCAGTGTGAAATGATCTGATGGGATGCGATGCGATGCGATGCGATGGGATGCGATGGGACGGGACGGGACGGGACGGGACAAAACAGAATGTCCTCTTGCTGCGGCACGCTGTGGCAGAAGACTGGATGAGAGTAGCGCAGCGGAAAGAAGCGAGAGCTCACTCAGTAAGTCCGCACCAAAAGCTTATTTACTACTCAACAATCAAACCTTCACACGAATCAAAGCAAGGGCGGCATGAGTGAGTTTTTGCTAACGGATTGATTTCCCAGTCGTAGATGTTTCGAGCAACGACAGCAAATGTCGATGGAGYAAGTCCAGCCGAATGCCCGTCGGTTGCGAAAATTGATTCCGGTGAGTAAGATGATGTCGAATGGATGACGAATGCTTCTAAAATCATTCACTGTATGTTTTCCGTGTCAGGCTCAGGTTAACCGAATGAGAATGATATTAGTGTTTAGTATCATCTATCAATTGTTGTTTTTTTCTCATCCAGTATTGTACTGTACGTACTGACCAGGCAAGTACGAGTACCTGTACTATCTTTCCATGTCTTTGTTTCCCTCTGCTCTAAGATAACTACAATAAACGTAGACGGTGTACAGTACTGGTACGTAGCTACGTACGATTAGATTACGGTTCAAAAACGAACGGTGACGCGTACAGAATTTTCTGATCTTCCAACACCCGTCTTGAGAAAACAAATACACTCTGTCAGTACGATGACCCTTTGCAGAACTCGTACTGTTCTTCATTCATTATTCGGAATCAGGCGATGCTCAGTTGAGGCATTACAGGTACGTACGTTTGACACGAATGATGAAATCGAGTTGCTATTTACACCAGCCGCATTTGGTACTGGCAAGCGCACGTTAAGTGTATTTATCAAAAGGGATCGAATCGATTGAACATAACAATAAGTAAAAAGTAACGCAGTTGTGAAGATGTAATGAACGCTAGGTTTGGTAATAATGTACTACTAGCTTCTATCCAACACGCGAGCTTTACCAAAAAAATTAATTTGAAAGATACTACTATAATACTATAACAAGCCTTTATTGTTTTTGACACTGTATGTACAACTCCCAAAGAAATATTTATGTTTCTCGACATTTATAATTTACTTATTTCTCGTGAAAAACGCGAAGGGATCTTAACTTTTTCGGCGCTATATACACGCACATCTAACTATCCCGATTGCATTTTATCAAAACATAAGTAAGCTGCTCTAGAAGAGGAAATCGATTGATTATTGATTGTATTTTTAGCCAGCTCAGTTACTTCCTTGAACGTGAAAGAACATGATTATTTAATTGATGTAGAATTTAAGTTTTCACGAATGACTTATTGGGGGAGTCAAAGCTTCTACAGGATTAACATTTTCTGATCACGATTACGATATTATTTCTAGAAAATATTGGGTTCTTCGACAAGATTATTATCCTTTCTTTCTGTTCTTAGTACGGTAGTGGTACTAGTAGTAATCAATGTGAAATGCTGATATGCTCTCTAATAAATGACACAAAAGAGACAGTGACAAACAATATGTAGCAGAATACTGTATTCCTAGTCTAGTAGTACCTATTCTGTAGCTTGCATGATACCCCCCCTTCAGGTCCAGTAGCTACTAGTACTAGTAGTACTGAAGAACATCATGGAGTCAGTGCAAAGGGGCTGAACAACAAAATGAAGAAGACAATATTGGAAGAACAATATGGTGGCAACTGATGATTTGAAAGGAACGTGATAATGGTGGAGTTAGTGTGCTGGTGGTTTGAATTGCTTCTAGTAGTGGTGAGATGAAACAATGTGTTGGTAGTAATACTAGTACTACTAGTACTAGTACTAAAACAAGGAACCTAAACATTGTTCTGTTTGTGTGTTTGTCTTCAGGATTCTGGATAGCAATGAAAAAATAGAGTACAGGATCTTATAGAATATGAGAAGCCCCACCAGCAAGGTTGGATCTGAAAGTTGTGATCACTTTTGATCACAAAAAATGAGATCAAGAATCTGAATTTTGTAATCAACATAATGTGATCACCACAATTGATCACAAATTTTGTTTGGCAGTTGAAAATTTATTGACCATGTGCTCACTGCAGACACTAAATACAGGGATGCTGACTACAGAAGGATGCAACACATCCTCACTCCCTGGGGAAGCTAGTACATGCTGAATAACAAGGACATTCCTAACTAGTACTACTAGCTAGGGGGACACTGAATACAGACAACATACAGACACTGAATACAGAGGACTGATGCACACTCCCTGGAGAGCCCCCTATTATTTGTTATTTAATACTACTCACAAGATTAACTTTTGAAAGACACCATGCGCGCCGGGCGCTCCAGGAAACTAAGTCCAGATGAACACTGTTTTGTTTTCAGGGCATAGTAAATTGTGTCATGATTAATTAACTTTTATATTGCCAATAAGAATAAACTTTATTAATCAAGTTAATTAACTTTATTAATAATACTATATATTAACTTTATTATATACTAGCTATATAACATTTGATAGGTTTGGCTATAATGACAGAATATCATTTTTCAAGCATGCGCCAAAGCTCACTCAATTCTAGCATGGTGCTGGAGGAGTTTTACTAGGTTCACCAGTGTAGGCCCCAGTACAGTTTTGAATGCGTGATGAAAAGGTTTTCAATGAATTAATTTGCTGGGATTAAAAAAGTTAATTAATAGCATTAATTAACTTTTAATTTGCCAATAATTAATTTTATTTTCAGACATTCCCCTTAATCAATTTTAATCAAGCCCCCAAAGAGTGGAGAACCTTCTGTAGAACAGATTTCCCTGTTCCCCCTCATCACTGATGTAGAATCTTGGTAGCAAATGCTTGGATATTTTAAAACGTGTGATTGGGGGCTCTCCTGCAAACACTCCTAAATACAGGGATGATTAAGAGGCTGTGTATTTGTGTTGGTTGAGATTTTGGCAAAAAATTCATCATGATCTGGTCACAAAAATGTGATCAAGAGTGATCACATTCTTTGAATAGGGGTATATGGGAATCAAGTTTTGGTTGTTTTCTTTTTCACTAATCAGTGGGGTATCTTGGAATATATTTCCCATTCTAAAAATTGAAATCACCATGGTTCCTGAAAATTGCCAATGTTTTGTTTTCCTGAAAGACAACTACGTAGGGACTGTAGGGAAGCACCCTACATGGCTGCGTACTGATCACCATTCCAATTTAGACTGTACAAGGAACACAGAATGAAACTGTACAATAGTTACTACTACTGCAGTGCCAAAGTACATTATTTGTTAGTGTAACGCTGAGTATAAATGCTATGTTCCTAAAAACGTTACAAACTGAAAAGTTTGTTACAATGTTGGAAATACTTTAGTGTGTAATGCTAGCACTAGTAAACATTTGAAATGTTCCAAACACTAAATTCTATTGGAAAGCTGTGACAACAGTTCAAACATCATTATTCACTACTAGTACTTATTTACCAATTACTAGGATGTGTATTCAATTTAAGACACACATGTATGATTTGACAATATAAAACAACTTCGTAACTAATGGAAATTAAAGCCTTTGTTCCTCCTCTCAAACCTGTACTCATCATAAGCATCCTCATCATCTGCTTCAGCCATCTCAATCTCTGCCAAATTAACCTGCTTCTTAAACCACTACTACTGTTTAGATACAAAGAATGCTTTTCCCACAAACTCTGGATCCAAGAGGGAGTCCCTTGTTGAGAGGAGTCTGGAAGCTTGATTGAAGACATGCTTACATGGGGCTGGAGTGGGTTGCACGCCAGGAAGATACTAGATCTTGGTCAGCCTTGCAAGAATTGGATAACTATCCTAGTGCTTTGTCCAACACTGGAGTGGATCATTGTAAACTGTTTTAGTACTTCCAATTGTCTTGACTAAGGCCAAGAAGCGCTCAGAGCACATGTAAAGCTCAAGTTCATGGTTTACAGGCATGATCAATATATTGACTTTTGCACAATTGTTAGTTCAATGGTGGCCAATTTTTCTCTTCAGCTTTTGCCTCTTGGTTGACCCTGAACACATTGCTTCTACTGCTGTTCTAAGGTAAATCAGACAGTCAAGTGCATCATATGTTGACCACCATCTTGTCATGATATCACCAACAACACCGACAAGTTTCTTTCTTCTGTGGGTTACAACCTCTAATTCCTGAACCCTCATGAGTTTTTCTGTGGCCTGGGTGGAATAATTGAAGTGGTGAATGTGTGCTTTTGCTTTTTCAATAGCTTGTGGCATGAAGAACACCAAATGATATGAACCTGCTTGCAAATGTTATGCATTTCATGGTGGTCAGCACAATATATATGTTGAGTATCCTTGTCCTCCAGAAGTATCCCAAGAGAATTCATGTTTTCAGCTGTGCCAGTTGTTACTGCTCTTAAATAAGTGCCTCCCAACTTGACCTTTTCTAGCATAAATGTCTGAAAATCATCACTCATATTTTTGCAAGTTGCTCCTCCTACTTCATGCAAAAACAAACCAATCTCAAATGAATGCAGCATAGCCCAAGTCTACCAGCCAGTGTACCTCTGATTTTCTTTATATGTCCAGTGATCAAGGGTAACTGAGATAGCCTGTCCCTTCAGTTCTTAAACCATTTTTCTACACATTAAATATTGTTCAATGTGACATATCATTGATTGAACCTTCTTTTGGCTCATTCTTGGTGGCTTAGCATGATGGTTGTGGGACTGGATTAGATCATGAAAAGGTTTTGTTTCCACCATGGTACTACTGAATGGAACAAAGTTGCTGCATAGAAACTTCACAGCAGTCATCATATCCTGATATTTCTGCATCTCTGTAGCAGTTTTCTTGGATTCTTTTTGTTGTTGCAATTTGACTTAATGAAGTCAGGATACTAACCTTTTGTTTTTTGCCATCATCTTGGGTCTGGGAAGCTTTCAATTCTTCCACAAAAACATCAATACCCTTCCTGTCATGTGCTTTTGAAGTCAAGTACTAGTGGTGATTCATGTTTGCATAAGTTTGTTTTGCAATCATTCCATTGCCATTCTAGGCCCCCATCCTGATCAAACTGCAACCACACATGTTGCAACATGCAAAATCCTGTGTTCACACCAGGAGCTTTGGGTTTCCACCAGTTAACAGGAAAATCTAATGTTTCAACTTCATCTTTCAATCCTTGGACTTGATGGTAAAAATTCCAGCAAGGTGACTTTATATTGACCAGATTAACAAGGCAAAAGATAGCTTCAGATTTTGGGTTGGGCTTCAACCAGTTGAAGACTGTCTTTTGGTTGGAAAGAGGAGTAGAGTTGTTGTTGCCATTAGATAATTAAGATTTGTGACCAGCAAAAAGTCTTGGAAGAGATAATTGAGACATGGTGGTGGTACTATTGGAAGAAGGAAGAAGGATTTTGTTAGAATCAACCATGAAATTACAATGTATCACCAGCATGGTCAAACAAAATTATATCTTCCTACTAATTCTGGTATTTTGAGTGTCCTACTACTGCTGATACTACTACTAGTACTACTATCATCATTCCAGGAAAATCAACAGTAGACTTCATAAAATAACGCAGGCCCTCGTCAAATTAGTAACAAGAGACAAGAAAAATACAGATTGCTGTCACATTACTAAAGAAGAAGAAGTACTCACTTCACAGACTTATTGCTTGGCCTCGTCTACTACTAGTACTAGTAGTAGTATGTGAGTCTCTTGTGGGCAGAATCAGGAGGACTCCTCCTTCTTCATTTACTACTAGTACTAGTACGTCACAGCACTACTACTAGTATTTTGAGTGTACTACTTTTCTTTATCTTTGTGGGAATAGCAGATCATAACTTTATTATACAATGCAGGCTTTGTGTCTTACCAATGATAACAGTCATGGTAAATTTGTATTTGGGAGGCTCTCAAGTAGTGTGATTTATGTTAGGAATGGTTGGGGTAAGTGTTGGTAAAAATGTTTCTGTACTAACGTCTGTGTTCCGAAAACCCTTGACCCAAATACAGTGGGGGTATTTGAACGTAATGCAACAAAAAATGCAACAGTAGAGAATCATGTACAAGTCTACGTACGTACACCTCGCTATTATCCTACTCACCAGCACAGTATCAAAATCCCTCAACTGATGGGTGTCAGTTGAGAATAATTACTGACACAATTTTTGAGAAGGCAAATTCTGTGAAATAAACACAAGTAGTGAAGGTAATTCTTGACAAACGACGATCAGCACAACAAGCCATCTTCTTATCAGCTATTCAACTTGCTCCTCTTGTTGAGGCAATCAAGCAAAAAAGCAGTCACAGTTACTACTAACAATACTACTAACAAGAAAAAGCAGTCACAGTTAACATACTATTTTAATGAAGAAATGGATCAAAGCAAAGCAACCGAAGCAACAAATTGAAGCAAGAAAGCAACAAATCGAAGCAAAGAAGCAGCAACCAAAGCAAAGAAGAAGCAACCAAAGCGAAGCAACCAAAGCAAAGCAACCAAAGCAANAAGCAACGAATTGAAGCAAAAACCAAATCAATTAATCGAAGTCCGTATCCAAGCAAGGCGTCTGTGTCCGTATCCAAGCAACGCGTCCATGAAGCAGAGCAACCAAAGTAACAAATCAAAGCAACAAAGCAAGAATGAAGCAATGAAGCAACGAATCAAAGCAAAGAAACCAAAGCAACAAATCAAAGCAAAGCAACGAATCAAAGCAAAGCAACGGAAGCAACAGAAGCAACGGAAGCAACAGAAGCAACCGAAGCAAAGCAGCAATCAACCAGCCAGCTACCTCAACATTGAATGTCCACCTTCCCTTTCATGCTTTGCAAGAGCCTTGAGAATCTTTGTTACAGTCTTCTCCTGTCTGTAAACAGTGCTGATGGCATCTTGAGCATTACCAGACCTCATCCTTATGATTCTTTCAATGCATTGCCAAAAGGGCTTCCTTCTGCAGTACACGAACTTGTTTTCCTTCGAATTTTGCTCAGCTGCAGTGAAGCTCTTTGCTGGTTTGTTGCCAGCAAATCCACACTCCCACTCATTCCAGATGACATAGTACAAGTTTCCAGGATTCTTCTGGAGGATCGCTCGCTGTCCTTCTTCACCAGCAGGACCAGCAGTACTACCAGCATGACCTGGGTTAACAAGACGTGGCCTCACCCTTCTTCTTGCTACTGGTGCCATTGCAGCTCCATTACAAACAGCTTGAAGCCTCTTGTTTCTTTCCTTCTGCAAGGCAAATTCTTTTATCAGCAGGTTCTCCATGTTGGACATCCTCCCTTGTAAGTCATGCATCTTTGCATACATAACATTCATCCACTGTTGGTGAGATCTTCTCATTCCCATTGCAGAATTTCCACCAAAAGGACCATTCCCAGCAGCAGCAGCAGCTTCCCCGTCAACCTCTGGTTCATAAAGCTCATCAAAATGTATTTGCCCAGCTTGTTCCATTGGGACAACTTCAGCTTTTCGAATAGGATTGGCACCATCATCAACTGCAACACCATTACCACCATTAGCTCTAACTCTTTCATTCAGCTGTACAAAAGATGCCATCACATTCCTTCTGATATCATCTGGAACAACACCAATTAGAGAAGGTTCAAATGCAGCCCAAAGCAACGCCTTTCCAAGAATCACAGCTACCTTGTTACCAAATGAACTTGCAATATTTGGAGTAACATGTTCAACAATCCATTCATCAGTTATACCAGAGCTATCTACTGGCTTGTACACACAGACTCCATCAAAACACAAATCTTTTGCAATGTTAATATCTGGCCACAGTAACTGCATATCAGTGTAACGGTCCTGTTGCATTCGGTTACTTTTCCATCTAGCTCTATAGTTAACATCATCCTTTGGCATTCCTGTGTGTCTGCAAAGTGATGTCGCAAACTTCCTAATAGAGTGAGTTCCCAACCTACCTGGCCTCTCCTTATTAAACGCACGGCTGTTCCAAATATGCCTTTTCAAAAATGCAGAATACTGGGCTTTTCCATGTTCAATTTCCTTCTTCATTGACTTCATGTGTGACCGTGCACTTGTTGTCCCTTCAGTAAATAACCACTGGCTTACAGCACCATTCCCATCTTGGCACCACTTCTCCAAAAATAATGCTAATTGAAGTACTRCACATGYTTTGGGATTCATAGAGCCCATCAAAATTTGATCAGGGCAATCTCKCTCYTCCCTCACATTCTTTGACCATTTCATCTTCAAGGTSAAAAATTCAGGGAATCTAGAGCAAGCCTTCAAAGAATCCTTTGTTATATGAGCCATATCATCATTACGAGCTATAAAGTGTGTCTGCACTACCATCATAGCTATAAATCGTCTTCTATTTATCACAGACCCCTGATTTTCTAGAAGATTGAGCCCTATCCATCTGCGTTGGTTTTCCAAGCCCCCTTGTTTCCTTTAGTTTAATTGCAGCAATTAATTCATTCACTTTAGTAGATTGGGTGGGATTGCCGTGACCAACACCTTGAAGAACAGTCCACTTAATATTCTTGTTTGGAAGATAATAYGAAATAGCTTTCTTTGWGTATTCTACAGAATTAGACCTAGCATGGACAGGATTGTCATCAKGAGTTGGATCCTCTTTATGATAAGMCTGGAGCGCAAGGAATCTATAAACATGATCAGGAGTGATGTTAGAAAGCTCATCATCACTAAACACGTAGTCCCTAGCAAATCTTGTATCTTCAGTGGGAGGATTATCACTCCTCCCATCTCACCTTCCATGCACAAAATCCATGAAGTTGAGGAACATTGCATGGTAAGTTTTCCATTGCCCTGGAATATTAACCCCAGAAGGTGGTTTGGGAGCCTGCCCAGGACACTTCCTTGTTGCTGGTGTTGCAACACTCTCACTTCCATCAGCATTGTTGTCGTCAGCAGCAAAAAAGACATCATCTCCTTCTTCCTTCTCTTCTTCTGCATCCAATACTCTTATGAGCTCTTCCAATGCAGCAGCTTCCTCAGGATTGTCTCCAGTGGCAGCAGCAACGCGTCCAGCAGAGACCGCTGTTGGAGACAATTCCTCCTCCTGCTCCTCCTCACGACCACGTCCTCCGCGTCCGCGTCCACGCCCATGCCCACGCCCACGTCCACGTCCTCCGCGTCCTCCTGTTGCTCGTCATTGAAGCTGTTGCAGCAGTTCCTCAGCTTTTTGTTGCTCAAGTGCAGCTTCTTCCAAAGCTTCATGGGCAACCCTGAACAAGTTGGGGGGAGGAGCTTGTTCTTCTTCTTGTCTCCTGCCGCGTCCGCGTCCGCGTTCTCCTCTCCTTGCTCCTCCACGTAATCCTACGGGTTGTCCCCGTCCCTGTCTGCGTCCATCTTGTGCTGGTGCTGGTGGTGTCATCTTGTTACTGCTGTTTACTGTTTGCTTGTTGCTTGTTGCTTGTTGCTTGTTGCTTTTCCTTCGAAAGGGGGAATAAGCTCAAGTTTTCATGTGCAGTTTTCACGTGCAGCACTCCACCATGTTGTATTATTGCACTGTGTGCATGTTTTCAACAGTTGAGAATGCAACAAACAAGCTACTGAGTACGGGTAGTACATAAAACTTCAATACCGTTTTTCTATTTCTTTTGCACACAAATAAATCAATACGGTCTAAAAAACAGTCATAAACGTGAGCCGTACACTAGTATTTAGGGGGTAGCCCTATGTGGTACTGTTTTTTGGTTGCATGGAGGCAACAATGATAATGCAATTTTAGTTGCATTTTACGCATACAGTAATAATGTTACATTCGTTAGCATTCCTTACGTTAGGAACGTACAGTAACGTTCAACGTTACGTTACCCAACACTATTATTTGTTTCGTATCAAAAGTCTGTTTTTCCAACACATCCAGCTCCCAAACAGCAAATGCTGAACGCTCACATGCCACAACGCAATCGCTCCAAGGAACACAACGAACGGGTGTGCATGCTTACCTACTTTTGAATTCAAACGGAGGGAGAGTTGGAAGGACGACAGAAACATCCTCTAGTCTGTGCCTTTTGGACCATCGCACGGCAATGTCGGAAGGCCGGGGAGGAATTGCTCGGGTGGTCTTCTTTTGCATTGTTGCATCGGCGGTGATAGCAAATGCGACGCTTCCTCTTTCCCACGCACTTGCAGTTCGACCGCAACGACGGCAAACGGMTCGAGCTCACAAGGGGAGAAGAACCACGACAGGCGGTCCAAACAAACAACAGGAGCGACTGGCTACAAGCCACCGAGGGCTCGGCAGTGCTCTAGCCTCCGGAGAAAGCGGAGAGGGATCCTCTTCTTCATGGGAGAAAGAGGACCGTCGACGTCGGCTGGGAATGGCGGTCGCCCTAGGCCTGGCCAATTTCTCCGTCATGGGAGCCAAGTGCGCCCTCCCAAGCGTCATGTCACTGCTGCTGTCCCCTGATCGGGGTCTCACATTCGGTGGTACGAGCGTGTCTCCTCCGCGAGAGCGGTTCGCGGGCCTCCTTGGATGTTCTACGCTGGCGGTCGCCCTCGGAAAACTCCTGCTAGGACCCCTTATCGACAACATGGGTGGGATCCGTGCTTTGCAGCTGGCGCTGGTATTGTTGACGGGCTTGCTGGCGACCGTGTCGGTAGCGCAGACCTTTGGTGTCTTTTGTGTCTGCTGGATCTTGGTGGATTTCGTCTTTTCATCGTGCTGGGCATCTTGCATTTCCTCTATCCAGCAGTCCTTTCCAAAAGGCGAGTGGGGAAGCCAGATCGGGCACCTGGCCACAGGAGCAAGACTCGGGAACGCGGTGTCCTTTAGCCTATTCGCTGCTATCTTGTTTGCTCTCGAGAAGAGTTCACCCACACAAGCGGTGAAGAGTGCAAGCATCTTTGTTCGACAGCCCTGGAGGGTCGTCTTCGGGGTGTCAACTCTGATGCAGATTGTGCCCTTGGGCCTGCTGCTTCGGTTTGGTGGCAAGACCCTTGAGCAAAAGCGCAACGACAGCAACACSAGTTCCGCAGCARCAGGAAYAACAAGGCCGGTATCTCCACGGCTTCGYGATTCTGTGGAAATCTTACGACGAGAAGCAACCACACCGGAATTCTGGYTCCACCTGGTGTCGCGGTCCTGCCTCATGGTGTTTGCTTCTTTTTTGCTGTTCGTCCCGACCCTAATGAACGACGTGTACAAATGTTCCAATGCGGTTGCAGCACAGGTTGCGGCCGCCTATTCCCTTGGGTGTCTTCTTGCGGTCTCCTTCGGCTCGGGCCTCTAYTCTAAACTGGAAACMGCGAGGTCTAGGATCGCCTCGCTGGTGGGCCTCATGGGGCTTGCAACGGCTGCGTCACTCGTTCAGTTGACCCACGTATCGGGCCTTGTGCCAAACGGTCTCCACTGGAAGGCTTCCACTGCGTCCATGTTTGTCTGGGGATTTGCCTTCAGTCTGCCCTTTTACCTACCGAGCTCACTYTACGCTTTGGCGAGGGGTGGCCGGGAGGGATCGGCCTCCATTGCGGATTGCTTTGACGTCTTTGGCTTTGGGCTTTTGGCCYGGTTCAACCGGTTTGTGGCATCGATCTCCGCTCGGACCGATGGTGATCCATCGGCATGGATCAGCTGTTTTGTGGTGACCACGCTTTGTGCCYTGGTGGCCATGTTGACGCAATCCCTGGCCGTCGGATTRGAAGCGAAAGCTAAAACAAAAGAGGAAGCAAAGTGACGACCCCTCGAGTCCAATCCCGAGCCAGTCGAATAGTGTTGAACGTAGACCTCAAGCAAAAAYAACAGCAACACACGGGAGACACAACAACTGGAACGGCSTTGACAAAGCGYGAAACGAATGCTGTCGTCCAAACAGCAACGCTATTGGCCATGTAAGGGTTCAACACGCGGCTATCGAGGCACTTGACATTGTCGACCCGCACATGAGGACTTCTTTTCGTCACTCCACGAACGGTGTATGCAAAAGCGTACCAACCGCAATTCCATTCCGAAAAGAAAAAGGTCGAACAGTACTCCAATATCCAACTTAATATACTGCTAGTAGTAGTGGGGTAATTGTAGAACAATTRTTGAGGGTTGAGCCTCGTACATTGTTCGAAATATCCATTGCTTGCGTGATGGATTTGTTTAACCATGCAGTTCAAAATTTAGCATCGATTGCTACCATMAATCACATGCAACTAGTAGTTGGCGTGCACCATTTATGATGTCACGAAATTTGACATTTTGAATAGTTCCATCAATAATAATGATTTTACTACTAAGCATGATGTTAAAAAAATATAATGACATCATGTCATTATATTGTACGGACCAGGAGGATAAATAGACATCACAACTCTAGGATTTTCCCCGCATAATCATCAACTTTATAATGCTTTCTTAATTGAATATCAACTACAGTTGTGTAGGAAAAAGTAATACACAAGAACTACCACWAATGTAACTAGTATCAATTGAGTCAGGATATGAAATTGTGCAATTCTATGCTAGTACTGGTTTGTGCATCAGATTGGAAGACGAAGGCAAGAATCATAAGGTGAGCACTTACAGTTCTGAATAACCAATTGCTGAAATCATTGAAAGGCATGATATAATAACAAGTGTCTATCAATTTCTTGTACCTCAAGAAGAGTCAGAACAAGAATTACTAAACAATATCCTTTGTCACAAGCAGTAAGGTTGGAGCCTTCATCATGATTTATCTTTACCTACTACAAGAAGTCACTTTTTTGGTTGTAATACTGCAACAAATA